CTCTGTGAAATAAATGGGCTGTATGATTTATTTACTGGTTCTATTAAAAGAAACAAAAATACAAAAAATTGTGCCACTCGGCAATACAAAGCGTTTACAATAATAATTTATAGTTGACTCAATTAATGTAAAACAAAATAATTGTGCAGCTTCATGTTCAACTTAAAATACCTCAAAAAATAATAACTTTATCGCTATGAAGAAAGAGTACAATATTTACGTAAGAAGTATTGGAGAATCGAAAAATTATGATAACATTGCAATTCCGCCAGTGGCATAAAATTTGGGAAGGATTAACCTTCACTTGCCCCTGTCGTATGCCTCTGATGGTAGCCAAAAACGTTTATTTAACATAATTAAGTAGAGTGTATAGTATCTACACTTCCCGCCAAATATGACAATAATACGTCAAATAGTTTTAAAGTATTGGAGAGAAATAATTTTTAAATTTTTAAACAAAACACCCTGTAACTCCGAATGAAGACACATTTTATCTAGGTGATTTGAGTTATAATTTGAGCTCAGGATTCTATAACTGAAATATTTCCAATTAATAATGTTTATCAGTACCACATTCTCTCAGGTATTTGTACTTCCTGATTCAATTCATAGTTAACCTTACTTATTATTTTTTTAATACGTAAGCTGTGACCGCGCGTATTAGCGCCATTTCTATATTTACTAGGCTCTAATTACACAACAGTTCTAGTTAATTGAAGTTGAGTGTCTTTAGTTTACTCTAAAAATTAGTTGCAATTTTTAATATTTATCATATGTACTTTCCAATACTGACTTCACATTTTCGGTACATCTTTGAAGTACATAAGGTACCTAACTATTTTAAAAAAGGTGTCCTGTTTTAATATAAAAGATAATAATTGATAAATTACAATATGTACTGCAGATAGACTAATGAATAAGTGTAAGTGACAAAAAGGAAAATAGTTATTTATGATACAAGTGCGTAAAATGTTTCTGCCCACATTTTAAAAATGTAAAACAGTAAAACCCCTTAAACAGGCCCTTTTATTAAATAAAATTAATTTTTCTTGAAACTATAACTGGATATAACAATAACAAAAGAGCATTTATTTATATTACTGACTTTTTATTAATATACTCTTCACACAGTAGTCTGTGAAGAGTATTATGTTTATTTTTGAGACACGAAAATTTTTAATATTAATCCAAATTTAATCTTTTTTCTACCAAAATCCCTTTCATCAAATTTTAAACAAATTTTAGAAATGTCCGTCTATCTGATGTCATGTTTTTGTCCGAACGATAAGACAAAAACGAAGAATGATATCAACTTAAAATTTTCAGGAATAATCAAGATTTCGACATGAATTTTTTAGGGGAAAATCAAGCCTTATTAGAGGATGAAGCCTATTGATTCTGAAAAAAAAATCTGAGTAAAAATGGTTTAAGGGGGAATAGAAATATCAAAAACAACTCCACTCAGGAACAAAAAAGATATCAACTTGAAATCTTCAGGAAAAATTTATCTCTATAAGGGGCTGAAGCCTATTGCAAAATAATAAAAGTGGGGGTTAAGGAGGAAGATCTGTTAAACTGTAAAGAGTATAATATAGAATGCCAAGTATTATTTATTTTCATTCTAGTTTTGTATTACTATTTCTTTCATGACTAAAATTTTTTACCATTGTGAGGTTGTCGGTGGTTCCGTTTCGATACCAAAAGCTTCTCGGTTGGTTCATTGGAATTGAATTACAGATTTCTTATCTTTCGATACTATACATTTTTTGTTGTACCGTCTTTGTTTTGCACAGAATTTACAATTTATCCTTTTGCAATATTTGCCGGTTTCCAACCTTCGAGCCGCTTTGCGGCAGTGATGTCTACACCGTAATCTACAGAAAAAGATGAAGACAGATGTCTGAAACAGATGCCTGTACATTGTATATGATTCAGGTATTGAAAGAAGATATCGAAAGAAAGTATCGCAGACAAGAGATTATCATCATTTCGATAGCCAAACAGCTATTAAAGCGCTGAGCTCTTAAGAAATCAGCTCAAAAATGGTCTGGAGATGCCTTGGTATCAAATAGAAAAGAGCGACCTACCTAATTCGAAGTCATTTCAAATCCTACATTTCCTTGATAAGATAATATTACAAACACACACATGGAATCTAAAGCCCAAGTTGAATAAGTTCTCATCCTGTATATACTGGATCAGAACCTGTTTTGTCCATCCCCTGCTTTTCGCACGACATCGCTACAGGGTCCTCAGAAAGTTTGAAATGTAATCATCATTTATACAGCCCCTATCGTGTGGATTGGAAAAATCAAAGGCATCAATACTATTTTCTTCTGCAATAGCGATAGTAGGGGTCACAATATATATTTTAGATCGTAGCGTAAACATAACATATTCTTCAGGTGTTGATAAATCAAGAAAGTTCGGTATTAAAGAAGGTATTTTTCTGAATTAGTTTATGCCCACCGGTTGTTTAGTACATTTTTGTAAGCGATATTAAGATGGAATCTTTTTATCGACACGTCTCAGGGACAAACATTTTCTGTAAATTTCGATGCTAATGTTACGCAGCACCCTGCAGTGTGCTAAGGTCGTTATAAGTAAAGCTTCGAGTAAAAGAAGACCGGGGAATATTCGAGAAATGTCATTCCACATCAAGAAGAATCTAGACAGTTCAAAAAGATTCCAGAAGTTGAAAGCAAGCTATATAAGTCGATGATCCTGACGTCAGTTTTCAGTTTTATGATAGACATTACACGTTAATGTTATCAGTTGTATAGTTATTGTAAAAGTTGAGTTGAAATAAAATGAGATACCAAAATTCTGCGTAACACTCGAAAACTCGAAAATTTCTGTTTTACAGAAAACGCGTTCAAAGTTTTCAAGTTTTTTACGTATTAATTACAAGACGGTTCTTAAAAAATAAAATTTAAAATTTATCCAGAATCTAAAACTGTTATGTAATTATATTTTGGTAGAATTTTAATAATTAAAAAATATTCGAAACTTTTAAATATGTAACTTGAAAAAGATGCAACTCTTTGCTATTTATGAAGTATATAATATCTTATCTAAATATACGATATAACTATTTTCTATTGCCAAAGTAACCAATACCTTATCTAAAGATACGATATAACTTTTATAAGTGTATAAAAAGCGCCACTAGCGGAAATTTAGAGTACAAAACATCGTAATATCTTAAGTTCCGACGTAACCATAACGAGTCAGGTTAAAAGCAATATATTTCTTACGTCTACTTCGGATGATACAGTGTATTTTATTGTATGTGTATATTTCGTAGGCTCATGGTGAAATCCGTCTTTTCATAAAGATCCTAGTCATATCTCGAAGCGTCGACATATTGTGTAAAAACACGAAGCTACACAATCTGCCAAGGCTTTTCATGAAGAGCCCGTAGCATTTCGGCAAATTGTGTGTAACACAACCTGCCTAAATTAAAATATTGAAATGCCCACAAAGTCAAGGCATATTGTGTTTAGATGACTCTTCTGGGCTTGTTACCGACACATTCTATTGTATAGGGAGGGTCAGCATTAAATAAAGATACAAAAAAATGCTGCAACCCAAGTCAATACTTTCCACTTTCTTAACGTCCTCCCTAACGTTTTATCGTATAAAATATTTTGTATCGCTAAAAATATTAACAACAATTTTTTGATTGAGTCCATTAAATTTGAAATGGATACCTCAAACCGTTTGGGAGTTATTATGGATATACAGACAATTTTTTTTAATTTTATTTTTGGTTATTTTAGAGCTAGTCTGACAGTTTTCTAGAACAATCTAAACGCACCACTTACAGATTTACCCTACGAATATACTTAAATAATTATTATTGGGTCCACCCTATATTATCTAGCTTTGGTGTTTACGTATATTTTGCATGATTCATAACATAACCTCAAACAATTGTTTATGCCTTACTAACTGCTGCATGTTCGGACATGACGTATAATATTTGCTATATTATACATTAAACAACTTATTTTCATTATTTTTTTCCCGTGACCTCTGTTTGAATTACACTGGCACTATCGCTCACAGCCCATTTTATATTTAGGTTTAAGGATTTGGAGTATATTCCACATCCTAAGCCTTGTTTTATTTTAGAACCGTCCGTCTGTGTAGATATGAATTGCACCTGTCACTCCCGGCTCTTCTATTTGTTCTGTTTATATGGCTTATGGGAGGTAAATTTCCGTCAGATGGAGTCCATGTTCGCTTGAAGCAGTGGGAGCGTATCGAGCACCTCCTGTCAAAAGCGACGTCTCGCCTTACTAGATTTCACATCAGGAAAGGGATTCTTAGGTGCGTACTCAACACGTAACGAATTGAATAGAGAAAGACATTACATACGAATCGCATTCTGTGAAACGAAGATAGTCGTCTCAACACGTGTCGAATTGAAATATGAGAATCCCAATCCAGGTTCTATTCCAACCTTATGCGGATGCATGTCATTATCATCAGAGCAACCTCCTTGATGTAAATATCAAGGGGAGTGAGACTAAGAATTACTGCTATGGATCTGATCGGTATGGTTTTCATGGCTCCTGTTGGTTTTTGAATTTGTTCTAGTTTACGGAGAGCTGCCAATTTTTAGGTTTTCGGTACCCTAGTCTGAATGTATATGCCCAATCACTGTAAATTCAAACGTTTAATTTATCATATTTTAAGATTTCTGTTTTTTTCGAAAATAAGATACTATGTTGCTCTTAAGTATTATATAAATACAGTGTTTTCCTGCATCCTCACTGTAATCTTTTAGAAGATCACATCGTTCTATAACTTTACCTTTGCTTGTTATATGATTTCTGTTAACTTGACGTTGGTAAAAATTAAAAATAGAACTGTAAATGTAAATAGTATACCTTTGTAATTTTTTTAACAAAAATGATAGTGTGTCATTTTTTTAAATTATATATCACATATCAGCAGGTCTGGTCTTCATCATTATTTTATCTTTGTTACAGAGCAGCGACGGATAAAAGAAAATTGCATGTTAAACGGCCGATGAACGCGTTTATGGTTTGGGCCCAAGCAGCTAGAAGGAAACTTGCCGATCAGTATCCTCAACTTCATAACGCAGAATTATCAAAAACACTGGGAAAATTATGGAGGTGAGTTTTCATATCTTACGTGACGATTCCTTGATTTTAGAGCACAGTGATTTATTACAATTCTTTGAATTTGTTACTATTTCATTACATGAAGTGATCCACTCAAAATTGTTTCTAAACTGAGGAACTGTATCCCACAGCTCGAATATGGTCATCTTAAATAGAAATAAAATGACACGGAATCAAAGGGTAAATATGCAAAAATTTAAATAGTATTACATACTGAAAGCTTAACAAATACTGTGACGTTTCCAAAAACTAGAACATAACATTTAAATTTTTACTACCTAAGAGAACCCTCAAGGAGATAGAGCTTTAATTGGGAATTTATTGTGAAAACAAAACATGAAAAATTCTGATATATGTGGGTAGGTGAACACGTTGGTAATAATTTAACTGTCAAATTCAACAATCCAGCTAGAAACGACGACCCCACTAGTAGTCTCGTCCTGGGGCACAAAATTATGTAGGCACAACCTCTTAAAAATGTGTAGGCAGCCAAGATGGATCATACACGAAACTACATCTGAAAGTGAGGTCTGAAAGGTCAGATTACATAGTAAGGTTAGTCGGAAAGAATCAATATGAAACTTCTTAGGTAAAATTTTAGCGAGATGAGAAGATGGGAGTACCAAGACTAACAGGTAGTAGCAAAATTAAAAAAGAGTTCAATGTTAAACCCGCTAAGGGGGTGGGAGAAACTGTCTTATTAGTTGGATATGTGATCATTATCACAAAACTGTGCTGGAACACAAGCTGGCTTTTAGGTAAGTGTTCCAGCTTTAGGTCTATTCATTATATCAGCTTATTCCAACAACAAAAGGAGAGTATTGAATCTCTGTTAACGTTACATATAATATCATAAATCTGCTTAAATTATAAAAATATAAAAAAAAATACATAAAAATTGCATAAAAATACCTAATTGCAATGAAATGTGACACTAGAATATATATGGCCCGTTTACGTTGACATGTCGTAATGATAATTTCAATGATGCACTAGTGAACGTTTTTTAAATCAACAGGTATAGAAAATATTTTTAAAATAGATAAAAAATTGCATTGCATGTTATTTATAACATAGCGAACATTTTGTAAATCCATAGGGACATTTTTTAACACTCATTCAGACAATCAGATATGTACTTAATATTTTTCTTTTCTCAAATGTTTTTCAATTCCTGTATGTCTCAACTTGGGACGTTATACTTTCCGCCTTAGCAGATTAAGTTTAGTCTCGTAAGTAGTTTTGTAGCATTTAATCTCCACTCTTCAGTTGTCATTTTTATACCTTCTAAATCACCGACTCCTCGTAGTTCTTTTAGTTTGTAATGTAAATGTTCGTCATAAAAAATCATAATATAATTAAAGTCAATAATCACATAATGGTATACACAAATTCCTCTAATTCCTTTTATTCTAAATGGGCACTTGTTTCTTACAAGTATTTAATTTGTTTTATGTTAGACATATAGATCTGACGCCTAGGCCGCCTCATTAGAAAGAGCGAGACGTCACTGTTGTCACACTGCAAAATAAATGGCGTACTTTCCTGGAAATCACCTTCAACTACAATAGTTGTAACCAGAAAAAAATATCAAGCTGATAATTTACCTGGCATTAAGAATATAAATATGCTTCCTTAATATAGTTTTGACAGCCTTTTATACCCTTTTGTTCCTACATTGGCCCTTTAGCAACTTCTACGGAATGACATTTATCACTTGAAATTTTCATTGCAAACAAAGTTTAAGTATTACATCGAAATGGTATTGCAACAAAAAAAACAAGTATGTTATCCATTTACTTCTATAACCACAAACCAACTCTTCCGCAATATAGCAAAAACGTTACGCAACATTTGAAGTAAGTTGTTGATCTCTTCACACTTTTCTGTTATGTGATTTCTCAGTTCTTTCGGATTATGAATTTGTATTGAAAAATAGAATTTTTGATGTGAGGCCATACGAAAAACTCGAATGTGTTGAAATCGCAAGACCAAGTTTTCAGTGTTCCTTCTAATCATCAAACCTGTCATCAAACCGTTATTATAACCATAAACATAATTTGCAACTATGTTGGATAATAACGGGAATTCTTGCAAATCACCTTTTGTAAGCAAAATTGCCCTAGTAGTTGTTGATCGTTGATTCTGTTTTTTCATTGTATACTACTGAGAAATGAAATAAGTGTGAATTACCATTTAGCAATACTCTTGTAATTGGTTGTTAATTGTATTACGTCAAATTGAAACAATTTTATGTACCCTACAGGGTGGTTAAACAACATTTTAGAATACTCTTAATTTTAAGACTTTCTACAAAATTTCAAATGAAGCACCTTGTATTTTTTATAGATGAGGAATTTTATCATCGACATTTTTTATTAGTGTATTTACAAATCTAAAATTAACCGTTTTTGTATTCATCTATTCTTCATTTATTATTAAAAACCACGATTCTAAAATAAAGTCACAAAGTTGTTAAAAATGTATTCTATTTTCCCTAATACATACTTGAAGTATTTTTTTAAACTACCATTCTACTATTCGCAACACTAATGAATATATTTTTACATGATAGCTGGAGGGTATGTCTCTTATATCCATTATATTTTTAATTTGTTGCTATTATGGACTGCCTACTAATTTTCATTTTCTAGTTATACTAAATCAATTTAAAAAAAGTTATTAAATATATCAATTATCAAGCCAGAATTAGTTTTTTCTTTTATAAATCTAATCAGAATCCTATCCCAATGAAGTATTAAGAATTTTGCAGCAAAAGTTAGTTATCCAACATCTCATATTCCTAAACATTTTCTTACAACCAATCTAAAGTAACGTGAGTAAATAAGAGACCAATTTGATAAAAGTTCTGAATTTGATTATACACATTAGCATCACATACCAGAAATGTGCACATTTTTATTACAATTTTGGCACAGTTCGTGTTTATTCAAGCACCATTACCACCTTCAGGTACATTTATTTCGAAAACATTTAATATTTATAAAGAAATTAATGCCATTTGGCAGAGGTGCGGTTATCTGACGTTTCGATCAAAATAAAATTCAAGCGTACTACATACGCGCAAGTAGTTTATTTTTATTAAAATGCCAAGTTTGAAAATGCATGTAGTTTCGGTTTTCTAAGCTTGCATGTTCATTTTTTTTTTAATAAGAAGTTCGATCAATGAATAATTCTTATCTAGTGACCAATGCATTTTTCTGAATTTTAAGCTAAGCTCTTTTTCTTCCACATGGACTTTCCAGCGTAGTCTTGTAGCTAGGTTCATATTTAGGTATTTTGCTGAATTCGCGTGCGAGATCTGGACATCGTTGATTCTAATAGGAAGATGAGGTTTATGTTTGTTAGTAAAATCTTCATATACAGATTTGTTTTCATTTAACCTGAAACGTCAAGTTTTAATTCAATTGTTAATTTCTTCTACCGAGGTTTGAAACTTTTCAGTAGCCTATTCGTGATTGTTTTCAACTTCAATAACTGCAGTATCATCTGCGAAAGTTGCAATCGTATTCTGTTCAAGATCAGGTATATCAACTAGCACGTAAAGTATTGGACCTAGTGATCTACCTTGTGGCACTACTGCTTTTATTTGTTTTAAATCAAAGTAGGCGTCTTCTTGCTTAATTCTGAAATATCTTTCTAAAATGCATGAAGTTAGGAGTTGCGAGTATTTTTGAGGGCAATAATATAAGTTTGGAAAAAGGTATTATTAGATCTTGCAACAGTTTGTAAAAAGTTAATATTAAATCTTGCGATTCGTTACTCGGCCCCGACGTAGTTTCTGTTTTCATTTCCATTTCTTTTTTTTATATTAATGTAATATTAATATTTTATAATAATTATAAAACTTCTGTTTGTTCTATTAAAAAATAAAATCAACCCTTCCAGTTTATGCTTATAATTAAATATTATACGGTTTCGGATAGATCAATAACAAAACAAGCTTATCATCGATTGTCCGCCTAGTAATCTATAATTATTTTTAGTATTAATTACAGAAACTTGTATCCGATGACATTACAGAGGTCAAGAAAGGGTTACTTCCAATCCAACCGCCAACAGATGCGTTCCATTCACGGTCAATGATCGATGTGTGCTGTCATATATAGTTTTTCCATCGCTGCCAACAATTACAGATTAAAATATAAAAATGTAATAATAAGTAATAAGTAATAACCACTTGTGCTTTTTAATACTGTGATAGACAGTGGCGTATCCGAACGAGAGACAGTTAGGATCTGGTTAAAATAAGAACTAGACAGCTACGTCATAATTTATTCGCTGTCGCCGCCTACTGGGGGTTTAGTGGCCTGGTAATATTATAAAAATGTAGGAAATATTTTCTAATACCCAACAACTTACTTACTCTTTATTTATTGTTAGTTATAGACAATATATATTATGCTTGGCATTCTATATTATACTCAATACAGTTTGACTGACCCCCTTAACTCCATTTTAATTAGATTTTTTTTTATTTATGCGCATCTCGGGCGTCGCAACTCGAGCGGAATACTTAATTTTTCGCATTTCGGGCGTAAGGCTACAGGTAGATTAAATACCCTTCGCAACTCGGTCGTTCAAGGATCAGTACCAATAATATAGTAATATAATGAATGTCACCTCTTTAGTTTAACCTAAGAAGGTGCTTTCGCTTAAACTTAAAATTATATACGGAGTGCCATACAAGAGGAACTTGCCAGTTTTTAAATATTATGTAACTTTCATAAAACAAGATTTTTTTATTTATCTTTCTCTGCGAAAATTGTCTTTACATTACATTGTTATGACATTTGAAATTGTCGTTTTTATTGAAAAAAGTATAATTTAATTTTTATGTAATAATTAGATTGATAAATAATAGTGTACCTACCTCGGCTAGCTATTTAATTTTTATTTTAGTACATTTTTTATCTACAGCGTGTCTGTGTAAGTTGGCTACATATAGAAAACTTTTTTTTAAATAGTTT